CCATCCTAGGACGAAACGGCTGCCTAGCGCTCTCAGATTTCCAATATTCCTCCGACTGATACCAGTCGTTCCATGATGAATTCTAATTTTATTGTTATTATTATTATTTGTCCCTTAGGTTCCTAGTAAAACGTAGCGATTCAGTAACACATAGCCGTTCCACTCTCTTCTATAAAGTCTTTCCAACCTGGCTCCACCATTTCCCATAAACTCATTTCTTCCTCACACCATCTCCTCCATATCATCCTCGTCTCGGACACTCAACTCCTCGTTTCCCATTTCGGTTCCACTCGACGGCCTGCCCTGACCTGCCCTGACATGGCCAGACACATGATATCCCAAAACCATCTTCTTTCTCAGCGTATGCCAAATCCAATCCAACTCAGTCGATCTTTCTTCTCCTTCTGCATATTTGTTGGGTGATAGCTTGTTGGTTCATTCCTTAGTTGCTTCGTTGCATCGTTGCCAGCCAGCCAGCCAGCCAGCCAGCCAGCCAGCCAGCCAGCCAGCCAGCCAGCCAGCCAGCCAGCCAGCCAGCCAGCCAGCCAGCCAGCCAGCCAGCCAGCCAGCCAGCCAGCCAGCCAGCCAGCCAGCCAGCCAGCCAGCCAGCCAGCCAGCCAGCCAGCCAGCCAGCCAGCCAGCCAACCAGCCACACTTCCTTCTTACTTACTTACTCTTATTATTATTATTATTATTATTATTATTATTATTATTATTATTATTATTATTCTGGCCATCTCATCTCATCTCCAGTATCGAGTGAGCGAGTGTAGGCAACAGCTGTTGATGTCATCATGTATGTCTGCAGTTCGTTGGAAATGCTTTCGGTGACACGCCAATTCTCTCGATCACCACATAGAAAGAAGCATTGACTGACTGACTGACTTGACTGACATTAGTGTTGAAAATGCGGATGTTGTTCACACTTTGTGCTGAGTGGAGTGGAGTGTAGTGTAGTGGAGTGGAGTATATCTGCACACTGAATTCAGATTGATGGAGGGAGGTCTGTAATGCTGTCTTTCCGATGGTGACTTTGACATCGTCATCTGTGTCGCCACCATCGTCGTCGTCGTCGCCGCCGCCGCCGCCTGTAGTTGAGACGATGCTGTCTAGGTAGGTAGGTAGGTAGGTAGGTGTGGGGTGGTAGGTAGGTAGGTGGGTGAAAGCGACAACTTCCTTTGGATGTCTCCCCTTCATGGTGATTGGTGAATTCTAACCTAATATATAAATATTCTTGTAAATGATTTGAATTTATTCGGGTACATTGCGGAAGAGCTTAGCTTCAAACTATCTATTGTTTGTATCGTTGTGAGTCCATCCAGTGAAATCTACAAATCAACATGAATACTTTCTTACTACTCACTTCGTTCAGTAGTATATTTCGAACAGTGACTGGATTTAATGATTTCCAGTTTTGTATTCACCACAGAGTGACATCATACTAGAATGAAACTGCTGTCTAAATTGGTCTTTAACTGATATCAGTCCGTGATAAATGCTGATTTAGAACTACACAAGGGTGATTTCGTTTTTCCGGTTACAAGCACTTTCAAATGATATTACCTTTGCAGTAATGATGGGTTGTGGCTAGCAGTAGAATCCTGGATGCGCGTTTCGTCGTATTTGGGACTGGTCAGCCGTTATAGTTTTAGTTTAGTAGCTTGTATCCCTCTGGGAACGTCACTCACTGGGAAGCAGGTACATCCAGCTGACGAGTCCCAAACAGGACGAAATGCACATCCTGGATCCCACTGCTAGCCACTATCCATCATTACTCTTTATAATTAAAATGCAGGCAATATCGAGGCATCCGTGCAGAAGCATATATGCCAATAGAGACCGATCAATTCAGTTCAGTCAACGACGGTATAATACAAGCAGTTGTACTGATATTACCTATAGCTTATTTCATTAGTTATTCTAGGGATATATTCTGACCAACCAGCAATTTTAAATTAGTTTTCATCGCGAACTCACATCATTTAAAGAATCAGCGAAAACACGTGGACGGTGGACAACTGTTTCGTTTTAATTCAGAAGTGGACACCCACAGTCCTGTGAGGAATCAACCCAAGACCCCCAAGTCTTGTGATAAGCACGTTACCATTAACTCGCTACTTCCTACTTCTTTCATTTTGCAGTTTGGCGTCATCAACGAGTAACTGCCTTGACTTCCAGCTTGGTGAAACGTATAGATCAAAGCTATTTGCTCATGAATACTAAGGAGTAATTCATTTGGTGGCTTGTAGAGATCGACTGATGTCAAATCAGTTCTTACCACAGATTGGCGATTCCCCAAAAAACTGAATAAAACAACTGTCTAACACTCCTAAGTGATCTCACTTCATGAAGAAAACGATTCTGAGATCAGTCAATTGGCATGAAGAACCAGTTTGAAAAGAGCGAAAACAACAAAGGGACCACAATAAAATGGATTTATTTTATTTCAGTGGTATCTTTTCAACTGCTTACAAACTATAGTATCGAAACACAGTTTTACTGAGAATCGAAAGAGATCGGGATGTCGATCAATAGGTAAAATGGTAAAAAATAATGATAGATTAAAGGTTAATCATAACGCCAAGTTCAAGGAGGGTTAACAAATGGTTATAATTATGCGCATAATCTAGTGAACGTTTCTCTAATAAGACAACGACAACAGAAGTACTCAAAATATTGACATTCCAAGACAATGTAAGTAGGTCATAGGGTGAATAGGCCAAATACTATGAGTTAAGTTCAGTAAATCCAAACATTCGATATGATTATGCAGCTAAACAAGAGTAGGACAATAAACATTTGAGGTTGATGAAGGGATATTTAATCAAACAACAGTCAAGAAGGGTTACGAAGGTAGACAGAGGTTGACTATAGCTTCTTTTCGGGCACGTAAATCAGATTTAAGGCGTCTAATGGCTATGGATTCAGCAAACTTCAAAAGAATTGAGCTCGTCTGTTGGTTTCTTATTTTGTAGGAATTGAAGACATCTGCTTGATGCCCAGTGTCAATCAGATGTCGAGTGATTGCACTGTTCAAACTGTTACGTCCACTCAGTCGTAGGCTCTTAGGAACATGTTCAGAAAATTGAAGATACATCATTCTTTCTGTTCTTCCAATGTTAAAGATAACATAGGAAGGGTACCTGTCGACTTTTGACTGGACTAAATAGCATATTGTTTGATACACAGGAATTAACCTTACTACAAGGAAATTTCTAGCAAATGGTATCTTCATTCATCTGCTATAATTTATGCAATGTTATCACTTTTGAAATTGAGGCTACTGTAGCTTTCTTCAACTTTTTATCTTCTGTCATTCCATGCTTGTAAATATCCACTATTTCATAAGCATCTTTTAACTATTTGCAATTGTTCCTCCACTTTATCACTGGGAAATATCATTCTGTCTCTGTAAAATAGGCTTTTAACTAATCTTTGTTTGTAGTGAATCGGATGAAAGCAATTAAAATTAGGCAGGTACCATTTCATGTGCACATTTGATGAATGGACCTTTGAAGCGTACCATGTTCCATGCATCCTACGTTGTGTGGCAATAACTATTTTTAAAAAATCTCCATCATTTTCGTATCTCATGGTAAGTTTTATATTGTTATAAGCATTACTAAAATGTTCTGACAAACAAAACGGATGGAATCAATGATAACAAAAAGTAAGTGTCGTCGATGTACCCGATGTAAAACGTCACTTCACCGATTGGATGTTTAATTTTAGTATTTTCTCGATTGGTCACAAAGATATCCCTAATGTGGGACCCAGATGACTCGCCACAGCTGCCACATCAATTTGTCGGTTGAGTTTATTATTAAATTGGGACTGAACATCCTTGGTACATACAAGTAGCAGGCATCTGAACCGTAGTACTAGCAACCATATTCTGATATCAGTTCAATTACGTTAGGAGCTCAGTCCTTGTTAGTAGTCCTTATTAAGACACGCTGTTGATTAGATAAATTCCGTTGGCCAATAAAACGCTGTTAGAGTTCTATCTAGCATGTTATCACGTAAGCTTTATGTAGCGTGACAGACGTTAGTGTCTATTATTTCATTCAAACAATATGTGAAATGAGTCATTTTGAGTCATTTTTTAATTAATCTCTCCATTTATTGGAATACTTTTAATCTAGTGTTATATTAAGCTTACGTTGCAGTATGTCTGATACGGGGGGTGATTTGATGAACTGCGTGTTACATCATTAGTTTATGATTTCAATTAGCCTGAGTACTGAATACATTTACTGTATCAAAATTAACTTTGTTTCACACAAAAGTGAATTCTCATGAAAATTAATCTTGACTGAGATGCTATACAAATTAGGTGACTGTGAAAAACAGCACACTGATGTTCGAAAACTATTCATGAATGCCCTTCTTGATTGGTTTTAGCAGTTGACATATGAATACTATTTTAACTTTTATTTATCTGTGATCACCTTTCTTACCACTGAAAACAGGCGCAGTGCACAGCCGTTTCATCCTGGTATCGGGCTCCTCAACGGCATGCACTCATGACCCGACCAGAGTGCTTTTAGATGTTCAGTGGTTCCCCAGCTGAGGAATACAACCTTAAAAATGCAATCCTCATAATCCTCAAGTTACATTATTGTGTGCTTCAAGATAGAAACCCGAAGTAATGAGAAGCCGTGACCCTTGTAGTCACCTAGCCGGAAGTGAAGCACATGCCAACTGAAGATCTCGGATAATAGTAACGTTATATTGCGAAATGACAGCAGTAGGAAACTGTGAACCACTGAAGTCCCTCGCAGTGGCTGAACTGTTAACATTTTCGTCATAAAACCTGAAGGTTGTGAGTTCGATCCCTGGCGGTATCGTGGGTGCATACCGTTGAGGAGTCTCATATTAGGACGAAACAGCTTATGTAGGTCCATGATGAATATATATATATACATGGTTTACGCCACTTTATTGAAGGACGACAACTGTTGTCCCGTTCTGGAGGTTTAAGACTTTAATCAAGTTTAATGATAAGGAAAGTAGGATAAACTCCGAACTCTTTAGTAATCTTTCAGAGATATTCAAAGTTTTATTGAAACATTTCATCAATGACCGAAGTTTGATGGAAGATGCATTTGGAGATGGAGACAACTGGATTCCCGGGATGGAGCTGTATCAGTATTGAATTTATGAAGTACCAATCATATCTCAGTTGTACTCCAACAACAGACTGTTTCATCTGGTTGTCATATGAACAAGGAGTTCACAACTGTTTGTCTTTCAATACAGTAACTAATCAGTCAGATCTCTTATTGTGTTCTCAATTCGAATAGGTCTGAATTTGAGACAACAATTTCTTGATTGTTAACCAGACTCTAAATCAGATCTGACTGATAATATTAGTTTTCGTTCGGGATTTTTAGCCTACTTGTAAAATTCTAAACTGGTAATTCGGAAACTAATCACTTAAATCTTGTTGTGATCCAACTTATCATTCAGTTCCGTTTGTTGTCATTGAATATATAGGTTGGTCTGCCAATTAAGTTTGTTTCAACTGGTGTAGTTAATGTTTCATATTGTTGCTTTTGGGAACGATATCACTCGCTGGGAGGCAGGTATTTCCTGCTGAAGAGTGCAAAATAGAACGATTCTACAGATTCTACAGTTAGCCACTATCCATCATTAGTTGAGTTAAGGCTTTTTTAAAAGAATTTTAAAGTCCTACAAAATGTTTATATCAGAGGATATCTGTTAAATTGTTTTTTATTCATATTTATTTAGACGGGATATATTTCACAAGAACAGTCAAATAGAAATCAATCCCAGACTATTCATCTAACAATATCAGACATGACTTCATCTTGTGAAGATTTACACAATTCAAGAATCAGATCAAAACTAACTGAATGTTATGAAAAGTCAACATTTCTTCAAAATTCAACATCATCTTCATCATCATCTCCTTCATTATCATTCAATCGACCAAAATCATCTTCACCATCTCATGAAGATTCAACTCAGCTTATTTTACACAATTTAATGAATTCTGATGAAAATATCACACAACAAACATATAATATGAAGAATAGATTACATGAATCAGCTATATCACTGAATGATTCAAAAGTGATCGGAATCTTATCATACCTTCTGAATATCAACGTGATAATAATGATGAGGAGAGCAATAATAACAATGTCAGTGATACTGATGGTGATCACAATGATATTGGTACTGATGTTGTTAATGATACTCGTGTTGAACAACATAATTGCTATAACCAAATGACAATAAGAGAACAATTGTATTCTCATCTTCCTGTGTATAAACAAACAAATAGTCAATGTCCAACTGATAATAGTTATGAAAATAGAGGATACAATACTTATTTAAATGATTTATCAACTGAAGAGTCAACGGATATGAAACAATTAGTGAAGAAATCAAGATATTGTCCATCAACTTATTTGAATTGTGTTGATTCATTGACAGATAAGCCTAGGATATCTGACACTGAGTTAAATGAATTGAAATCTCAATGTATACACAATACAATGATATCATCTATGTCTACTAGTACATCAGTATCGTCAAGTATTTCAGTGTGTTTATCTAAACCATCCTTTCATCCTACTGAATTTAAAATTAGTCAAGCAATACCATTGAATGATGGAGGTATTCATTCAAAGAAACCAGAACAAGACCTTCCAATGAATGTGTCTAATGTTGATATGCATTTAAATAATGCCGAATATAAATTTAACGGATTTCAACCTCGTTTAGAATATCCTCATCAATGTCATATGAATTATCAAAATAATAGTAATAATAATAATGGTGATATTACTATTGCTGATCATAGTCAGTTTCAGTATCACCTAAATGGTTTGTATCATCACCGTCATCATCACCATCATCCTCACCATCAGGAGAAAGACTATACTATGTGTTCATCTCTATCATCGTCATCATCACCATTGCAAAATTATTTTCCATCTTTTCCATTTGAACATTTATCACGTTACTCAGCTTATGCTAATATGAATTTAAAAGACTCAGATCATTTCAGTGTAAACAATGAACACCATGGAGGAGCAGGTGGCGGTGATGGCGGTGGTGGTGGAGGAGTAGGAAGAGGAGGAAGAGTGTTACACCATTCAATGTTAAATGGAGATGATGTAGTTGAACATTTACACAAGTCAATCATGAATACAACATCATCATCTAATGGTAGTAATAGTAGTAATGATAATTATAGTTGTCCTAAACCGTTAATATTTGATGAATGCTTAGCCAATATACACAAACAATCACCGTATATGAATAATAATGCTTCTATTGTTACTACCATTGCTTCTGCTACCATTGGTGGTAGAGGCGAACATTTACCAGACAGTCGGCATATGGAACCTCCATTTCCATCGTCTATTCTGAATAATAATGATAATAACAACTTGAATGAAAATATAACTTCCAAGGTAATTTCTCATCCTATTCCACCAAATCTTTCAAGTTCAATGACATTATCTCCTTATTCAAGAAGTATAAATCAATGTACAACAGATAATATACCAAGACTGGGACATTTAAACTGGTCGTCAAATAATAGTTCATCTCATCCTTACAACAGAGGACAGACCGGGTAAGCGTTTTAGTTTGATATTTGAAACATTGTCTGATCTTAGTATAACTGTTTGTATTATACCGTCGTTGATTCGACCGAATTGATCGGTCTCTATTAGCATATGGGCTACTGTGTGGGTGCCGCGATATTACCTGTGTTCTAATTCCACTGCTAGCCATTATCCATCATTACCATAATTAGAACACAGGTAATATCGAGGCATCCCTACAGGAGCCCATAAGCCAATAGAGACCGATCAATTCGGTCCAATCAATGACGGTGTAATACAAGCAATTATGCTAAGACTATACTCGTCGCACAAGAAGTGACTATCATGGCTCGGTGGTGAAATGGATAACACCCTGGCGTTTGAAGCGATCGCTCCTGAGTTCGAATCCCGGCGGGAATAACACCACTCACTGGGAGGCGAGTATATCCAGCTGGCGAGTCCCAAGTAGGATGAAATGCGCATCCTGGATCCCATTGCTAGCCACTATCCATCATTACTATTATTTGACCTTTCTATGATAAGTAGATAAACTAAATAAATTAGTACACATCTTGACTGTCAAAGTAACGTCGAATTTCCAAGTCTTTGTGATAAGCTGTTAACAAGCTTATATATATGAACAAACAGAATATCCTAGTGAACTGTTGCTGACTATAGAAAAGGCGGAAAAAACCTATCAAATCTGAATAGCCTTAAATTCATTTGTAGGATAATTCATCTTCATCATCAACTTGAAGACTAACAATCTTATCCTGATCAATTCTTAGACAGAGTTCTAGGCAAAAGAATACATTTTATATATTATTATTTATAGTGTCATGTTATTAGACATTACCAGTTATATCCTTCCTTTTAACTTAACACACTGACTCCGTACATATTGATACTGGGTGATGATTGAAGGTAAAATGAAGATTTGGATGGTAGCCGGATTCCAACCAGCGACCAATGGGTTTCCGACCCGATACTCTATTAACTGAGCTATAGTTTATCATTGAAATGACTCCACTTAAAAATACCCTTTTAAAGATGATGTGAATATTTATTCAGTGACTTCTACAGAAGAGATTGAGTGTGCTCTCTCTAAACCCATAAACTATACTTTCCCCTAATAATTTCAGTGGCTTCCGCTATGCCCTAAAGACGTAACCGTATAACTTTAAACACATTATTTCGCATTCGGCACATTATCCATGAGATATCATCTATTTTAACTTAACGTCCACTATCTGTCAAGTGAGACAAAGTGGTGTTAATAGTCGCTTTAGTATAGTTCCCTTTCTCGTGCCCTCAGGAGTAGAGAAGTTACTATGCCCATATATTCATCATGGTGACTAGTAGTGGAATGCAGGATATGCGTCTCGTCCCATTTAGGACTCATCAGCTGTATATAGGTGAGACGCGAACCCAGTACTTGTTGCAACAGACGCCAAAGCGGGATTCACTAGTTCACTGAGGCACGATAGTCACCACTTGTGCAACGCGTATCATTGATTGTTGTTTGATACCTGGAATTTTCCGTTGCTATACAGAGTCAAATTTTCAACTACATGCGGCACGGATGAGGACGTCAAAGTCAGGATTGGAAAAACAGCAAGACAGGCGTTCATCAACCTGAAACCAGTGTGGAGATATTCCCCACTCACCACAAAGCATGAACAACATCCGGATTTTCAACACCAACGTCAAGTCAGTGTTCCTGTATGGCTCAGAGACTTGGCGTGTTACGAAAAGCATTTCCAACAAACTACAGACATTCATCAACAACTGCCACCTACGCTAGCTCACTCGATACTGAAGATCAGATGAGAAGGCCAGAAAGAATAAGCAAGAAGGAAGTCTGGCTGACTGGCAACGAACCAACCAAGAACCTATCACCCAACAAATATGCATTGGAAGGAAGTGTAGATGGATTGGGCATACACTGAGAATGCCGACTGGGGACATCACGAGTCAGGTCAGGCCCTCGAGTGGAACCCCGATGGTAAACGACGAGTTGGGCGTCCGAGGGGAGGGTGACATGGAGGAGATCGTGTGAGGAGGAAATGAAAGCTTGTAAGCAGTCGTGGAGCCAGGTGGAAAAGACTGTAGAGAACAGATTGGAATGGAGACGTGCTACTGAAGCCCTATGTTTCACTAGGAACCCAAAGGACAAATAATAATAATAATACAGAGTCAAATTGGTCGGCCTGTGCTGGCCGATCGGCTCCTATGCAGATACCTCCATACTGCCAAATATTCATGGTGTTGTATTCATTTTGATGACTCATGTTTCATGCTGTTTCGGTCTTGTCACGCGTTGAACTCGCCATCATCGGATAATTTATCCGGAATGGAGTGTGTCGCTATAGGTTTGGTTGAAAAACAACCATACGATTTAACTGCAATGAACGTCCCCGCAATAAATCTGCTCAATCTACTTTCTAGTGAATTGCCAGTCAGGGAAACAGGCTTTTTTTTTTACTGATATTTCTTTTTACAAAGTTATTTGGATAGTTATCTTGCATGAGTATCCTTCCCAACTTCTTCATTTCTTCATCAACACACTCTTGGGAGTATATGAATCTTACTGTATGAATAAGACATTTAGCGAGATTTATTTTGTACCGCAAGGATGTAAATTTATAGAAATGGAAGCCATGTCTATCCCACTTACTCTTTTTGGATATATTATTTTTTACATATCCATCTTTACTTTCAGTAAAGCTGATATGGTAATCTCCAGTTCTTCTTCGTAGATAAACCTGACTACAGAATGGACGCTAATGATAATCTCCATCAATCCTCCTTCATTAGTTCTCTTATTACACATGATGAAAGTGTCGAGAACATAGCGGTAATAAATATATGATTGTCTTGTCGAAAAATAAGCAAACATATGACTGGAGATTGCAAACTTATCTTCATTAATATCATAGTGTTGTTGGAGGCAGAGTTTATAATGAATAAAGTGCAGTTAAAAAAACTTGTTATCGTTAACGGACATAAATATAAGTATTTGGAGGTCAAAGCAAGAGGCGTACTTTTGTAGCCGGAAATTGGCAGCAATCCTTGAAATAAGGTTTCATACTTGTTGGCACTTGTCAGATAGGTGTATGTACAAACTTGACTGAAATGTTAGAACGCAAGTCACCAACTGATGTAGTCAGAGACGAATAGCTCAATGGTAACGTCTGTGACTTTAGTACTGGGCGGTATGGGACCCAATCTCTTATGTGACTTCATTCCTGAAACTGTACTTACATTTAGCTTGTTTCATCTTATTTTTGAAGCATTTGTAGTTTTAATTAGTGGTCTGAAGTTTTAACGTTAACTACCTTGAATGTGACAGATTTCTACATAACTTATCAGTTTGAGTATGAATCCATCACTTACCAGTTGTTTTCTTTATACAAGCAATTATTTTTCATGTTGGTATTCATCATGGACTGACATCAGTTGGAGGAACAATGGAAACCTGGGATCACTGGACAGCTGTTTCGTCCTAGTATGGGACTCTTCCGCAGTGCGCGCCCACTACCCCGCTAGGGATCTAACTGGCAACCCGCTCATTGGTGACTAGCTTCGAGAAATGATTCTTGAAGTTCCAGTGAGAAGTAGTGACCAGTGGGGCGAACCTCGTGGCCGTGAGGATAAATACTCAACGATGAGATTGGGCTACGGTCGCGTTATGTCGTGAACTGACAGAAGTTGGAAATATGGACCAGTGGTTTAATGGTAACGTGCTGACCACGGAACCTGAAGGTCAAAGGGTCGGTCCCTGGCGGGGTCGTGGGTGCGCACTGCTGAAGAGTTTCATACTAAAAAGAAACAGCTGTCCAGTGATCCCAGGTTTCCACTGTTTCTCCAACTGATATCAGTCTACGATGAATACCAACTTGAAATATCTCTAAATCCCCACATTCCCCCCCAGATTCAATTTTTTTCAATTTATTATTAGGAACTCATAACTAATGCCGCAAAACAGGCTAAGAATGTCGAGGAATAAGAGCAGAATTATTGTACTATATTATTATTAGACTGAAGTCGTGAGATCCTGTAGACTTTTCCTAAACCTATCGCTTTGTATCGATGCTTACTAAACACTAAAGTCAATTCATAGATGGACTACGCTTTGCGGTTCAAAATATTTCCAACCAAATAGTCCTGTTAGAATAAATATTACAACAACAGTTATTATTACGGAAGATCCTTACCGTGTCTGGTTCGTTTAGAACTAGCACTTAAGCTTGACATAACCAAGACTTCGGCAAAACAATAAGATGTAAATCGTTTGAACCATGTAAAGTATTTGGGCAACACATTTCGAACTATCTGATTAACACGTACTTGTCATAGGTAATCATATGAAAATTCATAAAGATAAGGGGTGAGAAAATGAAAAGAGGTCAAGTAGGAAGTTTGAATAAAAAGCCAAATAACAATAATAGTCCATCGAACTTGGTTTTCATTGTTGAATTCACCAGGAGAGATTTAATGTGCTAACAAATTGTTTTTGAACATACGACAGTGGTTTAAACTTCCTAATATCTAAGGTCTCAATAAATTTAAGCATTCATCCACAACTTTTGTAAATACGTCTAAAGGAAGTTGACTCATCAATCCTGTGAAGTATCTCAAAGATTTGTTTCGCAATAGGAGAACTTGGATATCTGCTACCAACCTTTATGGGTTCAGGTGATTCAATTTGCTTCTGAAGCCACTTTGGAATATGTTCCGAGGCCTTTACTTGCATGGATCTATAACCCCCTTCCTATATGTGCGTCACCACACTTACATTTGAATTAATAAATGGAATGGGATGTGACATTGTCTTTCACATGTGGCTACTTCTTTCAAACCTATTTACAAAACCTGCAGAGGCCTTGGCCATTAGAAAGTTTAAACCACCGTCGTATGTTCAAAAATAATTTGTTAGCACACTAAATCTCTCCAGGTGAATTCAACAATGAAAACCAAGTTCGATGGACTATAGTTTTCTCTCTATTGATTTTCATTGTTATTTGTC